ATACTGATGTTCCCTTTCTGGAACTTTTAATTCAAATTCTCAAGATAATTTTCTTCTTTGTGTTATGGTAACTTGTATTCATCTTGTATCAGTTTATCGTGTGTAAAGTTTAGACGGTTTCTTTCTGAATTCTCTACCTATTTAAACCAATTAAAACCTTTTATTAAAATTATTCATATTCAGTGGTCTCACCGCCGCTTATTATATTTTAGATCTTTTTTCAAACTACAATTCACGTTCCAGTTAGGGTGTACAGAGAGAAACACCTTGATAACGTATGTGCAGGATATCGCAAAAATCCTTCACGATGATGGGTTTATTTTGGGGGCCTCACGGATTTAACTTTGAGTGGAGAGGGGCGAGGTGGATATTGACTCTACGGTCTATACGGGAATGGCCCACCCGAAAGCAATACCTGTTCATTCAGATTACGAAGTGCGAGGTTTCGCAAGTTGAGCTACAATTAAATGGGAGCTGTTGAGAGTGGTAAGAAGCGAATGACCTAGTTATGATTAATTTAATCTCTAGTTCTGCTGGAGAATATTAAACAATCTAAGGCTTCTTCTAACAATTAAGAAGAGATTATAAACTGCAATTTTTATATTCTATTGCAATCAGAGAGCACTCAACGGAAAAAGGTCTGGTAAATTTAGTTTTCTTTGTTTTTACTGTCTTCTGCTGCTTTTTGCGACTTCATTGCAGATATTGTCCAAAAGTTAAGAACTTTACAAGTCTGCTCCACACACTTTTTTTCTTGCGCGGGATCGAAGCGGGCAATTCTGAGTGGGCAAGATAGTACGGGTGGCCGATTAGAACACTTTCTATTTTTAAATCATTTACCATATTACGAGGATTCCCTCTCTAGAAGGCTTATATGCTCGGACTCGGTCAGGTTCCTAAAGGGCAGACCACAACACCGGGATCTACGTTCCCTACTCTTTGCGATAAGTGTGTGGGTTCTTTAACGTCCCCTACTAACTAGTACCGAGAAGATACAGGAGACGGGGCTTACGGCTTTTTGTCCTCATCCGAGAACACTAGAATGTCTAACCGCTTGCAGATATCATAACAAAGGCAGCACATCCTCCTCAGTTATTTTAAGACCCTGAGAGTGGGTCCGGTCTGGGTCTTGAACCCCAACCTCCCGCACAGTAGTCCGGCGCTCATCCACATGAGCTTACCAGGCGGCGGTGATTCGTGATTCACTTTATAATGCCGACGGGCGCTGCCAACTATATATTACTCCGCACTATTATAGAAGTAAACTGTAGTTAGGAAAAAACGCTTTCGAATTAGAATTATGTCACTAGGAAAATAGAAGCTCAGACGGGAGAGCTTATCTGAGATCTAACGTTTTTAGCCAAATCTACCGGCAAAGTGCGTGAAATTCAAAAGCCAGCCACCCAACGGGGGAGTGCAAAGGGTTATGGGTTGAGACATTCTTGCTTCATTATGCTATCACTTTGAAATCTTTAACAGTTGATAAAATACGGTGATGCGATTTTTATTTGTTATAATGTGGTGGCAAGCCTTTATGTCACAATCTACCTTTAATTGAATTAACTGAAATTTTGCAAGGGAGTTTGCTTAGAGGCGCTGAGGAGGTAAAGTTTGGGTGGAGTCTGCACCCCCGTAGTTTGGTAGCCAAAAACTTCTAATTCTGTATTTATCACTCTCATTAGGCACAACATCATTTCAATCTAGCTAAATGTGTTTAAAAATTCTTAACAAAAAAACTAAAATTAAGGCGAAGTCCACCCTTGTCGAGTCCATTGTACGTGATGTTTTGATGTCGAATTAATTTCCACTCGTTTTGTTGACAGAACTTTATCAAGTTCTTGTTCGCTGTGTTGACTGCTTGAGTTTTAAGCAGCCAAGATGAAACCTTCGCCACTTTTACAAGAACAAAGCAAAAATTCTAAATATCGACGTTAATTTTACTTGCGAACCGGTTACCGGCATATCAAACGGAACCTTGAACGCAGCGGCGGATGAACAAAAATTTATTCTTAAAAAAAAAATTGCTACATCAAGCAAACGTACATACCGCTCGACATCGTTATAGCATAGACATTCATACATACATATACTTTATTTAAGCTCGAAATTCAGTGTAGCTGTAGGGCTAATATATTCGAGGAAATAAGCTAAAATGAAATAAAAATATGCTATCTTACGATTCAATATTATTTAAAAGCTATATACAATATTATTTATAAACTATATACAATATTATTTTTAAACTATATACAACATTATGCATGTAATATAACTTGTGGATCTACTGTGGAAAAGCTTCATATCTGAGGATCCCCTGCTTGAATTCTAGAAAATATAATGTTTTGTAAGTGTCTGGGAGAGAGTTCCATATTTTGCTAGCTAGGTATGAAAAAGAGTGCAGACCATATGTCGTTGTTTTTGGGTTGGGAAGGGACATGATATGATTTCCGCGCAAATTGTAGGATGAAGACCGTACGGTGAACATATCTTTTAAATAACCTGGATAATTCGTAAAGAACAGACTCTTATATAACGTGATCATGAAGTTCTGGAGGCGTGTAATGAATAGAGATTTTAAGTTAACTTTGCTTAGCAAAATGTCGTATGGAGAGCTGTAGTCCTGTAGTATAAACCTAAGAATGCGCTTATTTAGATTATCTATTTTGTCGGCATTGCGCGCACCACAGAAATGCCAAACAGAAGAACAGTAGTAAAAATGCGGCATAAAGGCTTTAGGAAGCTTCAATAGCGTCTCCTTATTAATAAGTTTCCGAAATCTAAGCATTACGTTAAATTGATTATTTGTTTTCTTACAGATGACTGATACGTGATTATCAAAAGAAAGCCTATTATCTATTGTCATTCCAAACATATCTATCGAATTATGTATTGGGAAACAAAAATTGTGCTCAGTTTTTCGCAGGATCAGAGCCTGGTGCTTTTTCTCGTTAACAATCGTGCCATTGTTTTTATACCATCGAAGGATCTGCTAAAGATCCAATCAGCTTAAAGTGGAATATTAAATAAGGTGACGAATTTCCCTGAAGCGGAATAAAATTACTTATGGCCAACGGACTAATTTGCATAGTTCGGCTCTCACGCTGGCAAAATCAACAAAAGTTTGCAGTCATCACGACGAAGGGAATAAATAGATGGAATATTTTTTTCTGTTTTATGCTTTCCAACATCTTATTAGAAGAAATCAACAGGAGTTTTCATCGGTCTGGTCCGGACATAAGAAATATTACCTGAAAAGAGAAAGAGCCTTTTTTTGGTCTCTAGATATTTTGTATGGATATGCAGAATGCGCAACATCTCTCCGGAAAAAAAAAAACTTCCCCCTCTTCTTCTCACATTATAATGCATAAATCATTATTATAAAGAAAAACCATGCTTAAAACAAGCACAACACGCATTTACTTAGTGTTTTCTTTAATTCTGTTTACATATAATTTGATGTTTGTATCCTTTTTTCCTGCACTTTTTTGTTTTCTTTTAAACTACCTTTTTTCTATCAATTTTAAGTAGTGCACTCTATACACTGTAAACGTTTTTGTTTTTTCTTTTCTTTCTTTTCAAATATATAGTTATTTTGTTTAGTCGCTCTTCAACCTGTATTGTTTTAAATATTGTATTGCACTGTAACGTACGTATTTGTAAAAAACAAAAAACGTAAGTAATGTAGCTATAGATGTAACTGTACTGTAAGTTATTTTCTGTAGCCGTGATGTAAGTAATATAGCTGTAATTAAAGTAATATAATTGTTTTTTGTAAAAAAAAAAAAGAAGAAAAGAGAAAGAGCACTTTTGACCAATATCAGGGTGTTTTTGAATAAATTATAGCGACCCACTGAATACACACATGCTTTTAAAACCCCTTAAATATCACATAATTTAGGAATACAGAAGATTTCTTGTTGTATGCAATGTGTTACGAGGAGCGAGCTTCTCAACTTTTGAAATTTTCGATGTCGCAATCGGTTAAAAAGGGATTTTGCACCTCTCGTTATTGAGAGCTCTAAAATATTTCATTTCGACGTATTTCCAGACACAAAGGCGCTTTTATTTACTCACTAACAAAGATAGCATAAAAGTTTGAGGGAAACCTTGGTTCCGATGCGAAATACCCTAGACCACTCTCATATCAGACTGAACCTTACACACGGCAGCTGATTAACAAGAATTTATTATTCAAAACAAAATGTCACAACATTCAAACATAAATACTTCTCAACATCGATATAGCATATGCTGTCGAGATATCTGCTAAAGATTCCATTAGCTAAAAGTAAAATATGAAAAAAGCAACCAATCTCCCTGAGGCGGAATAAGATTACTCACTTCTGTAGATAAGGAAGCAGCTGAAATATAGTAAAACCAACCGAGCTCATAAGACAAATTTTAAACCTGTGTAATCCTATTACTGAGATCATCAATTTGACTGCTATAGCGATCGAAATTCGTAATCTTACAAATTTCATGAGCGGAAATACATTGAAAACTGTCCATGGAACCATATACTCGGTTAATAACAGCCACATCGGTTTCATATGACACTTAAAGTGAAACTACATTTCTTAAAATACAATATTCATTCTGGAAAATTAAAGCAAATGATCGGACTTATCTATCTCCAACAAAAATCCTTTCCACAAGAAATCTGTCTACTTTTTGTTTTTCTTTGAACGACGACAAAGGCGAAATAGATTTTCGAATTTGCAAACATACAGCGTGCAGATTATACCTAAGATTAGTGTAATTTCACTTAAGATTAGAGAGCCTATTCCTTAAATTATACTTCTAGAACTATCCTTGGAAAATCTTACATAACATTTAGTAATTTGACTACGTTTACATCTATGTAAATGGAAAATAAAAACCAAAGGTTATTTTATTTCACCGGAACCTTGATCCGCTTGCAGAAGTTACGTTGCAAATTATTTTAACTATATCTGGTTCGGTTATTTGGCGTTTACTGCAGCTGGAATCGGCGCCGCTTGAGCTTGTCGTAACGGTGGAGGATATTGGTTTGGTGGTGGAGGATAGCTTGTGTAGGACTGAGGAGCCTGATTGAAACCTGGAGGAGGCTGATCGTAACCAGCTGGAGGAGGTAGGTTGTAACCTGCTGGAGGAGGATGATCGTATCCATCTGGAGAAGGCAGGTTGTAGTTCACCGGCGGAGGAGCATGTACTTGTTGCGTCGTCATCATTTGGGTTGAGAAGATTTGTTGCTGTGGCTGTTGGCCGGTGACGACCACAGCACCGGGTGTACGATAGCGGTAGTACGGGCAACAAGCGCAGCAGCAGCAGGATACGATGGAAATGATGATTGCAAAAAAAATAATCGTGCCGATTACAGCGCCTGCAATAGACCCGCCGCTCCAACCACAGTATGAGGAACAAACTCCCCCACAACAATCCTCATCAAGGTCACACTGGTAGTCGTACGTACACGAACATGAAGAGAAACTGCTGATACATTTCCTATTACAGCATTGCTCGTTCGTCCCACACTGGTAGTCGTGCGAACAGTAGTAACATCTCTCTCTACAGACTTTATCTGTACAACAGGACTCACTGAAGGAACAATCACTGTCGTAAGTACAGTAAGTAGCACTTCCCAAGGCAAAGAAGCAGACGAAAAGAAAGCATAAAAGCTCCTTAGCAGCCATTGTTCTTTCACAATTTCAGTGGCGTCCGTTCGTTGTGAGATAATAAATAAATTAATAAGATGCGGTTGGCTGATTTCCATATTCTCTTTAGACACTCTACCATGGAAACCCCAATAGATGGTGGGAAGGGTGCTGGGAAAGAGAAAGGGAATCGATAGGGGAAGTTGGATGGCAAGAGGAGAGATGCTGTTACCATGCATAATCATAATGGTTCAGTACCTTTCAAGTCAGGCCAAAGCTAAAACTCAAACAAAAGCCCAGATATTGAACAAAGAACGTAAAGAAGTCACAAATCTGTGAACCTCGTCGTCATTCAAGAAAAAAAAACAGTCATTCGTAAATATTGATCTACGATAAAGATACATCTTTTCATTTTCTTTTTAATGAGTACTTGTGAGCAGCAAACAGCTATAGATCTTGTCAACTTGATTTGTTTTCTCCCAACGGTTTCGTCTGATTACACAGACTTTGTGAGGGAATTTGAACAAGATTGCTTAAAGGAACTTACTACACACGTTATTTACAAGTACAAGTCACGTTCCCACAAGGGCGTCAAGAGCGAGAAATACCCACATAAGTAGGTGAAGGATATCACAAAAATCGTACATGATATTGAGTTTAATTTTAGGGCTCTCGGATTTATCCTTGCGTATAGTGGAGAGTGGCGTGGTCGATATTATCTTCAATTGACAAGAAGGTCCATACGGGCATGGTATGTTCGAAAAGGATACCCTTTCATTCAGATTTCGAGTTGCCAGGTTTTACGAGAAGAGCTTCAGTTACAGGGAAACTATTGAGCGCGGGGAAAAACGAATGATCTAGTTGTTATTGGTCTAAGTTCTGGATCTGGTGAGGATTGAACAATCCGAGGTTCTTTTAACAATCAGTGAATACCCAACAGGTCCGATTAAGTAAGTAGTTTCTACAACGGTTTCATCATCCGGGAAGACTACCTTGCTTTAAACTTCTGAGAAGATTGGATGTCACGCAACTCGAGTAACGCAGCTCATTGTCATGAAATCGACGATTGGATAATAATCCTGGGGTGGTAATCGTAACTTTTCTCTAAATTCAATCCAACGTGGGAACAGTTCAATGCAAAATTGCTCCATATTATGCATGTAAGAGTCTATGTCATACTTAAATATGTCAGATAAATGAGTTGCCGTTTGTTTCTATGTTGATTTGCTTCACACATCTTAGTACTCGGCCGGTGAGCGGGAGGACATCGAAACGACTTGTCCTTGTACCTCGGATGGAGGATACGGAGTTGGGTAGGATGGCCAGTAAGTGGGTGGTGCCTGAATCACTCTTTGTCTCCATGGCCTTTCGCATCAGCTTCTTTGCTATTTTAACGGCGTTCTTAGCCTTGTCGTTGGATTAGGGGTAGGTTGGAGAACTTATGGCAAGTTCGAAGGAGTGTGCGCGAGCAAACTCTTGAAGCTCTCTTGATGCAAACGTTTCGCCGTTATCTGGGATGACTTGATTTGGATTCCATGCTTTGCGAAGTGGTCCTTAACTTTGCGGATGACTGATAGTTGTCACGCTTTCAGATGCCCGGTGTTTATTTATAAATTAACGCATGGTGTCCGAAAGCGTGGACAAGTATAAGTCTGCACTTAACCACGACAAAAAAGAAAAAAACATGGTAAATAGAGGCTCGTAGAAATGAGTTTTCACTATAGACGCCATGTAATGTTCTTCAGGGCTTAGTCTTATGGAAGACAGATAGAATTAGGGGAAATAATGAACGAGTGTTGATTCAACTCTATTGAAATCAAAAGTGAACACATCCCTAATACAGCTATTTCGAGTTACGTATCTGTTACCTTCACAATATAGGATATCCAGTCACAACTTGCATATTAAACTGAATCTTACACGCGGCGGCGAATTAACAAGAATTTATTTTCCAAAAAAATTGTGACAACACAGGAATGTAAATAATGCTCGACATCGACATAGCATATGCTGTTGAAGGATCTGCTAAAGATCCGATCAGCTAAAAGTAGGATATAAAAAAGTAACAAATCTCTCTGAAGCGGAATAAGATTATTCATGTCTGTAAATGAGGTAGCAGCTGAAATATAGTATAACCAACAGAACTCATGGTACAAATATTTAACCTGTGTAAATATATTACTAAGGTTATCAATTTGACTGCCATCTTGAAAATTTCTTAAGCGGAAATACATTGAAAACTGTCGATGGAAGCATTCATTTGGCCGGACTCATCTATTTCCAAAAGAAATCTTTGTCTACTTTTTGTTTTTCTTTGAACGACGAAGGCGAAATAGAAGTTCAAATTTGCAAATATACAGCGGGCAGTCATGGCTGACATGAGTATAAGCTTATTTAAGATTAGAGAACCTATTCTTTAACTTATACTTTTAAAACTATTCTTAGAAAAAAAATTACACTGATAACATTTAGTAACTTGACTACGTTTACATCCATGTAAATGAAAAATATAAACCAAAGATTATTTATTTCACCGGAACAGTGATGTGGTGGAGAAGTTACCTTGCAGAGTACTTTAATTACATCTCGTTCGGTTGTTCGTCGTTTACAGCAGCTGGCATCGGCGCCGCTTGAGCTTGTCCCAGCGGTGGAGCATATTGGTTTGGTAGTGGTGGACCGCCTGAGTAAGGCGGAGGAGCCTGATTGAAACCTGGAGGAGGTTGATCGTAACCAGCTGGAGGAGGCTGGCCGTAAGCTGCAGGAGGAGGCTGGTCGTATCCATCTGGAGAGGGCGGTTTGTAGTTCACTGGCGGAGGAGCATGTACTTGTTGCGTTGTCATTATGTAGCCTGAGACGATTTGTTGTTGTGACTGTTGGCCGGTACTGGGTGTACGATAGCGGTAGCACGGGCAACAAGCGCAGCAGCAGCAGGTTACGAAGGAAATTATGATGGCGAAGAAGATAATCGTGCCGATAACTGCGCCTGCAATAGCTCCGCCGCTCCAACCACAGTACGACGAACAAACTCCCCCACAGCAATACTCTCCACTGTCACACTGGTAGTCGGACGAACAAGAACAAGAAGACGAACTACTGCTGCATTTGCTATTACAGCATTTCTTGCTCGATCCACATTCGTAGTCGTATGTGCAAGAATGGCAAGAAGACCAACTATAGATGCATTTGCTATTACAGCATTTCTTGGTCGATCCACATTCGTAGTCGTACGTGCAGGAACGGCAAGAAGACGAACTACTGATGCATTTATTATTACAGCATTTCTTTCTCGATCCACAGTCGTAGTCGTACGTGCAAGAACAAGAAGACAAACTGCTGATGCATTTGCTTTTACAGCATTTCTTGCTCGATCCACATTCGTAATCGAACGAACAGGAACAATGCTGTCTGCAGATATAATCGCTACAACAGGACTCACCCAAGGAACAATCAACGTCGTAGTTACAGTAGGTAGCACTTCCCAAGGCAAAGAAACATACGAAAAGAAAGCATTGAAGTTCCTTAGGGGCCATTTTCCTTTCACAATTTCAACGGCGTCCGTTCGATGTGGGACAATAATCGGTTGGCTGGTTTCCAAATTCTCTCCAGACACTTTACCATGGTAACCCATGAACAAAGAAACTAAAAACGTAAAAAAATCTGTTAATCCTGTCGTCATTTAAGAAATCACAGTCATCGGTAAATATTAATTTCCGATAAACATACGTAGCAACAAGAAACCGTTTGTCCTTGTACCTCAGCGGGAGGATCCGGGGTTGGACCGAGTGGTGAATAATGCAATTTGTGATAATCGCAATGAGCATAAATAATTATTTTGTCGGCACGTGTCAAAAGACTGGAGGCAAGTACGAGGTTTGCGAGGAGTTATGGGATCGTAGTTTGTAAGTTTAGGTCGTCAATGTAGCATTCCATGGTCAGTCTTCGCCGTTTTTAGTTGATAGGTCTAGTCGTTTAAGTCGAGTGAAAAAAATCTCGTAAAAAGTCGGGAAAAGAGTCTGGAAAAAAGTCGGGGAAAAGGTCAAGAGAAAAGTCGAGAAAAAAGTCGGGAAAAGAGTCAAGAAAAAAGACGAGAAAAAAGTCGGGAAAAAAGTTGGGAAAAGAGTCCGAAAAAAGTCGGGAAAAAGGTCGGGAGAAAAGTCGGGAAAAAAGTTAGGATAAAAGTCAAGAAAAAAGACGAGAAAAAAATTGGGAAAAAAGTCGAGAAAACAATCGAGAAAAATTCGCGAAAAAAGTCGAGGAAAAGGTCGGGAAAAAAGTCGGGGAAAAGGTCGGGAAAACGTCGAGAAAAAGTCGAGCAAAAAAGTCGGGGTAAAAATGAGAACGCGGAAAAAAGTCGGAAAAAGAAGACAGGGCACGGAAAAACTCTAGGAGAGATTTACAATTGAAAGCTTAATAATAATTGAATAATTTATAATTGAAAGCGTAATCGCACTTAATTTGCTCCTTTACGCTACTAATCATAACCATTATAAATTCCTCAAATGTGATTGGTGCATCAGCTGCTTCATTTTTCACTTATCATTCTGTACAGTTGTAATCGGACAGTGTACTCGAACAGTTGGTAGTAATCGGATACCTGTAATCGGACAGTGGAAGCAGCCAATCATACTAGGTCCACTCAGCTAAATCCACCAATCACAGATTTGATCACAATAACCATGGCAACAACCACTTATCCAAAGAAAAACAAGGCAATTTCAAAATGGAGGAATATTTAACTAAAGACATTGTCTCCACCGGAGATATTTGTTCTAGGTGTATTTGTTTTTTCGGAAATTGAAATGGTTATGATTAATTGATAACAGGATTTCTTTTCGTCCAATTCTGTCAGTAATCATACTCGTGATAAACAAATCGGACTCCCGCGTTGCGGTCGTCCAATTTTGTTAATCACTCGTATGATTACAGACCGAATTGAACTCCAGTCGGTCCAATTACCATCATTAATTTACTGAAGGTTCGAGTTTGCCCCAATAGACGAATTTGCATAAATCGGCTGTCACACAAGCAAAATCAACAAAACTTTTCAGTCACCAGGGAGAAGGGAATGAATTAGTGCAAGGCGATTCTCTATTTTTATGCTTTCGAACACCTTGTTCGAAGAAATCAACAGTGTGAAGTTCTTGATCAAGGAAGAGTCGGGAATGAATGAGTTGGCAGTAATTGGATCCTTATGTTTGAGTAAAGATTTCTGGGATTGCTACGGGGCAAACAGTTTAAGTTGTTGGAGGGAAATATGTGGCGAAAGGTTGCTTCGACGTCCACCAAAACGATTTTGAGAGAGATCAACGCTTTTTCGCCGTAGTTTTATCAAAAATATATTAAGAAAATGTTGCTACGAGGGAGGAGTAAGTATTTGTCAGCATTACCACGAAATATGTTCAAAAAATATATCGATTCCCTTCTCTCTTTGCGTACAGTCTATAATTGTGAAATAAATTTTCTGTAATGGTCTCGACTTATTACAAAATTAGCTTTAAATCGCTCGGATATAACTCACTTAGTCTTTCCAGTTGTATTTTTGTTTTTACAGCTTGTTTTTGTACTTGTAAACGTATTAAATAAACATATCACGCTGTCTGAAATTATACCTCCTCAAAGGAGAGAAGTCGTTGTCAGCGAAGATTGAAATCGTTTTTACCTAGCTGTTGCTCTTTGCAAGGAAGAAATAAACAACAAAAAAAGCAAAAGGAAATCCCTAGGTCAAGTGATAATTTGTCTAGAGAAATCCAAGGGTTTTTGAACTGCCACTCATCAACTCGAACTCCAGCAGAAAATATGGTCGTGTGTACATTCAGTTATGCATCGCTTGTTCAGTAACCTATTTGTACCTAATCATCGCTGATTCGTTCTCATTGATCACAACAAAGAGGTAATGTAGGCGTTTAATCACAAATATACTACGATAATATAACTTATTGCTCAAGATCACAATTTCGAACCCCCGCTGCCTCGAGGAAGCTGATGTAGCGTTTTTTTTTACCAAGCCAAGAGAAAAACTAGGTGTGGACTTAACACAAAAAAAAATAAAACTGAAACGGCACTATTTAGTTATTTCTTGGTGATTTAAAACAGATATCTCTAAAGTTCGAAATCATTACGCGATGTCGATTTCACTAAACCCTTGCACATGGAGAAAAATTTATCGCTAGATTTCACTACATATTTCACGGTTGTTCATACAAAACCTTGCGCTACCCTTGTATCAATATTACTTACACCCATTTCTAATAAGACAGCGGCAGAAAAGTGATGATCTCTCACCAAAATCGTTTTTTTTTGTTGACGTCGAAACACCCTTTCACTATACATTTCTTTCCATCGAGTTACAATGTTTCCCCCGTGGCGATCCCAGAGATCTCTGCGCAAACACAAGGATTCGTTTATTGGCAATTAATTCATTGGCAGAATCGATGTTAATTCCGTGCCGTCAAAATCTACTTCTATCTTAATGCCTCATGCTCTCCGATCCGGGATCTTACGATAGCACCCTACCTTACTATATATAATAACAACATTAGAAACAGGAGTTTTCATTGTTCTGGTCTGGAAACTTTCAATGTTGCGAGAGGTTAAAGAAAAGATTTTTTGCATCTTTCATTATTGGGACCTCTAAAAAAGAAGTTATTTTAACGTATATCCAGACAACAATATGGTTTTATTTACTAACTTACAAAGATGGTATGTACGTTTGAGGGAAAATTTTGTTTAGATGCGAAATGTCCCGAACCACTCTCGTGGAGATCGGCAATAATGACTCCTTCATCTGGTTAGATCGCAGAAAAGCTTACGCGACAGATGCATGATTAGTTTTCTTGCTAAAAGCCAAGATGTAACCGTATAAAAATGTTTACACAAATGTTTCCACCTGGTTGGTCTCGACAGATCTAGACGGTTTAGATGAAAGCAAATCACCCAATTTCTCAATTTTTCAGCTCAGATGAAATTTTCGCCGCGCTTACATGCACACAGAAAACTTCGAAAAATCTGATCTAAAATTCACTTGCGAATCGGTCACCTGTGTAACGTTCTTCAGGACTTAGTCTTGAAGAAGACGATAGAATAAGGGGCAATAATGAACGCCCAAGCGGAACATGTGTTGATTCAACGCTATTGAAATCAAAAGTGAACACACCCCTAAAAGCGGGTTGGATAACAGCTATCTCGAGTTACATCATTGTTTACCAAAAAATATAGGATATCGTCACATTTCCCCTTCCATTGGGAAGGAAAAAATGAATAATCATATGGATAACACTAATACTGCCAATAACAATGTATCTGACAGTTTCACATTGATGTAATCAAAGTTCAATCATAGTTCCTTAACAAAACAGGCGCACCGGGTGGTCTTTCCTTTGGAAATGTGGCTGTCTTGTCTTTCTTAAGCTGATGCTTACACGCATCTTGTTTAGGTTGCGTAGTCAGAGGAAGACTTAAGAACCTTTGTTGCGGTGTGAGTGGAATTGGATCTACCGAAACAGGCCTCAACGATTCTTTAGACAATCGGAGCAGTCGTCGGTTTCGTCGGAATACTCTACCATCCTCCGAGTGTACTTCATAGGACCGTATGCCAGCTTGTCTCTTGACTTCAGTCTTTGTTCAGGCCTTTCCTGTTCCCCCTCTTGATGGCTCAAGGCGCCCTACATCACCTGGTGTATCTCTTGTAATTCTTTAGCTTCTCGGTCGTAATAAAAGGATTATTTGGCCTTCTGTGTTTTTCGGCTTCACTGTTCGGTGGATGTGGGTAGGAGAGTCTTGGTTTGGCGCCCAAATATCCTCTGGGTTGGGGATGAGCTGATGAACTCAGAGATAATGTTTCTCTAATTAAGGAAGGCCATGTAGGGATCACTCTTTGTCTCCATGGCCTTTCGTATCAGCTTCTTTGCTGTTTTGACGCCGTTCTCAGCCTTGCCGTTGAATTGAGGGTAGGTTGGAGAACTTATGACATGTTCGAAGGAGTATGCGCGAGCAAACTCTTCAAACTCTCTTGATGCAAATGGTTCGCCATTGTCTGGGATGACTTGATCTGGTATGGCCGTGTGGCCTTGCCTAAGACTACGAATTCTAACATAAATAAATCATTACTTTTGGGGTTGAAAGTCTCGATCTTCACTACTCTCAGTGGTTTGAGTTGGGTTTTGTTGAACATTTTCAGGGTTTTTTTTTTTGTTTCCATAACTTAATTGAGCACTGGATCATTCATTACTTTCTTATACTCACCTACTGGTGAAATATGAACGGTAACGCCACCATCGAGTTATACTGTAACTTCTGTTTCTCTCAGGCGCATTTTAGCAAATATCTTGCACTGGCACTGCTCCGCGTCAATCGCGCTGGCAGACTCCACATAAAGAAAATAACCATCTGAATCATCAGACAATTCGTCTTCTCCATGCACTGGTTTGCATTTTGCAGGCTCTCTGCACAGGTACGATCCCGGGAAGTGGTTTAGAGCCCCACAGTCTAGATAGTGTTTCTGCCAGGCTGCACATAGCTCTTTCTTTATGCGTGAGTCTCTAGGTAGAACTTGCATTTGATTTGAAGGAGGATCAGAGTCGCGCTGTCCTGAGTTGAAGCTTTTATTACGCGGGACGTTGTCTCGCCATGAGCTGTCAGTGTTGCTTCGTTGTGGGCGACGCGGCACCTTAACAGCACTCATTTTATCAACTGTTATTTGTTTGAATTGCTTCGTTGTTGTAGTATTTGTTCTTATTGGATAAATACGTTAGCTATTACATAATATTTATACTAGTGGTTAGCACACCCTTGACCGCAGCCACGTGATTATGCTCATATATCATTGTGAGTAATTAAGTTCGTTGTATTCTAATAAAGCGGTTGTGTAGAGCACTTCGTCTGTAGACGCGTTATTCTATAATAGTATATATCGAACCCTAATACAAAACAGTTGTCGTTTAATTTGTTCGACAAATATTGATGCATTTATCGAGAGTCAGCTTGGGCTCAGGAAGCAGTTTCTTTCGGGTTACGTTTTCTAGTAATCCTAGGACCATGCGATCCCTCAGGAGATTATCTCTCAGTTCTCCGAAGTTACATGTCATCGCCAAAGAGTATAGAGAGGTCAAATAGGTATCAAATGACTCACCTTGCTGTTGGTCACGTTTATTGAACACATACCGTTCGTACGTTACGTTCGTCTCCCCGACACAGTATTCTGTTAGCGGCTGTAGTACTACGTCGGAAAAACGAGTTGTGGTTGACTAGGAGGACTTGCGGCTCCTGACGAGTTGTCTGCGCTTTCGGACGTCACGAGTTTAATTAACAAGTATAAATCTACATTTAACCACGACAGGAGAAAAAAAAACATGGCAAATAGCTGAGGCTCGTAGAAATGAGTTTCCACTATTGACACCATTTAACGGCTTCAGGGCTTAGTCTTAAGGAAGACAGATAGAATAAGGGGCAATAATGAACACCAAGCGGAACGTGTCTGGATTAGACTTTATTGAAATCAAAAGTGAACATACCTCTAAAAGTGGGTTGGATTACAGCGAACTGCATAATTGATACCTAGATAACATAGGATATCGTCACAACCTGCATATCAACGGCGGCGGATTAACAAGAATTTATATTTCAAAAAAATCGTGACAACACAGGAACGTTAATACTGCTCGACATCGTCATAGCATATGCTGTCGAAGGATCTGCTAAAGATCCGAGCAGCTCAGAGTAGGATATGAAAAAGTAACAAATCTTTTTGAAATGGAATAAAATAACTCACATCTGTAAATATGGTAGCAGCTGAAATACGGTAAAACCAACCGAGTTCATAGTACAAATTTTTTACCTGTGTAATTCTACTATTGAGATTATTAATTTGACTGCTATACGAAAAGATCAACATTTGTAATCTTGAAAATTTCATAAGCGGAAATACATTGAAAACTGATCAGTTTAATATGACACTTAAAATGAAGCTACATTTCTAAACATAAAATATTGACTCTAGAAAATTGATGCGCATGGCAGACTTATCTACCTCTGAAGAAATCCTCTCCACAAGAAGTCTGTGTCTACTTTTTGTTTTTCTTTAAACGACGAAGGCGAAATAGATGTTCAAATTTGCAAACATACGGCGAGCAGATCATGGCTACGATTGGAATAATTTCATGTAAGATGATATGTAAGAGGAAAGGGATCGGTAGGGGAAGTTTAAGGGAAAGGGGAGAAATGCTGTTACCATGCATACTCTCGTAACGGGGATAGTTCTGTACCTTTCAAGTCAGGCCAAAGCTAAAACTGAAACAAAAGCCCTAATACTGAACAAAGAACCCAGAAACGTCACAAATCTGTCAACCCTATGGTCATTCAAAACATCATAGTCAGTCGTAAATATTGATTCTTTTTAATGAGGTCTTGTGAGCAGCAAACAGCAACAGAACCTCTCAACTTGATTTATTTTCCCCAAAAGGTTTCGTCTGATCACACAGAATTCGTGAGGGAGTTTGAACAAGATGGTTTAAAGAAACTTATCACATGCCTTATTATCAAAGTACAAGTTACGTTCCACATTTCTGATAACAAAGGCCACATTCACTTTCTTCAAGCTTAAATTTTGGGAGACTTCATTGACGCTCGAAGCTCTCGCCAAAAGTAGCCTCTTGGACTTCTTTACAATTGTTTTTATGATTGTTTGCATCTCCAATGTTCTTATCTAAGGATATTCTAGTCCTAGTAAACGCCTGCAGGCATTTAGTTCATCCTACGAATTCAGTTGTAATGGTTGAATAACAAAACGATACAAATTAACTCAGTGCGATTTCGAAACATTCATAGTGGTCAAATAATCCGCATTATTGCAGGAGTCAGGTTGTAGTTAGGAATAAACGCTCTTCAATTAGAATTATTTCACTAGGAGCCTATCTGAGATTTAAAGTTTGCAGCCAAATTTACAGGCAAAGTGCGCAAAATGTTAAGGCTTGCGACTAGACGGGGGAAGTGCAAACTGAAAGATTATAATGAATTAAACTCAAAGCTGTGCGTTGGCCTTCAGTTCTATCCAAATTAGATCAGAAGTAAGGGTGGTGGTTATATCATGGACAGTTATAAGGCTGGATGCAAATTAAAAGCGTTTCTCTGTAGTTTGGTATTCAACATGCTTTCTGACCTTTCTCAACGGCTTATCAACGTCGACACATCCAGCTCCATCATGATTATGGTAATTACATCACGCGAACTTCAGGACTATGACTGTGAAACATCGCAGGTTTCATTGTACTTTATTTCTCTGATACGAGCGAATTTGTAACTGTCGAGACCTCATTCACCGCCAACCCAGCTTAGTAAAACCATCTGCTTTAAGCAGGTTTTGAGTCTCACAAAGCCCAACTTCAAATAGTGTCTGCATCTGCTAATATGATGAAGATGTCCGCCAAATACAAGGTCCTTTTAGACTAAATGTGGCAAGACAAAAATTGGGATTCAACTGCTTTCTTTTAGCCGAATAATGTCTCCTTCATCAGGTTTCATAGTAGAAAAGCTTTCGCGACAAATGCATAATCAGGTTTAATACTGAAAGCAAAGATGTAACCGTATACAAATGTTTTCACCTGGTTTGTCTCGACAGATCTCGTCAGTGTTGATGAAAGCAAATCGCCCAAACGCCAACTTCTCAATAAATCCTTCAGATGAAATTTTCGTCACGTTTACAAGCACAAAGAAAGAGTTGAGAATATCCGATGTAAAATTCACTTGCGAATCGGTCATCTGCATATCAAAATAAACCTTACATTACACATGGCGGCGGATTAACGAAAATTTATTATTCAAAAAAATTGTGACAACGCACAAATGTAAATATTACTTAACATAGCATTTGCTGTAGAAAGATCTGCCAGAGATCCGATCAGCTTAAGGTAGAATAAGAAAAAGTAACAAATCTCCCTGAGGAGGAAAATAATTTCTTACGTCTGTAAATAAGGTAACAGCTCAAATGCAATAACATTCTATTACAAAGATTGTCAATTTGACCGCAATACGACACGATCGACACTGAACATTACTTGTGTATATCACAAGCGGAAATAGATAGAAAACTGTCGATGGAAGCGTGGACTGGGTTAAATACAGCCCGATCTGTTTAATGTGGCACTTTAAGTGTAAACTACATTTCTAACAATACAATATTCATTCTGGAAAATTGATGCAAATGGCCAGACTCGTGTATCTCCAGAAGGAATCTGTGTCTACTTTTTGTTTTTCTTTGAACGACGAAGGCGAAATAGGTGTTCAAATTTGCAAATATACATATACAATCTCATGGCTAAGATTAGTAGAAGTTAATTTAAGACTGGAGAACCTCTTCCCTTACTTATACTTCTAAAACTATCCTTAGAAAATCTTACTTAACATTTAGTTGACAACGTTTACATCCATGCAAATGGAAAATATAAACCAAAGGTTTTTCATTTCCTCCGAACAGTGATGTGCTTGGAAAAGCTACTTCACACGTTACCTTAATTACATCTCGTTCAGTTTTTCGGTGTTTAATGCAGCTGGCATCGGTGCTGCTTTCACTTGTCGCAGCGGTGGAGGATATTGGTTCGATAGTGGTGGACAGCTTGAGTAAGGCGGAGGGGCTAGATTGAAGCCTGGATGAGGCTGGTCGTAACCAGCTGGAGGAGGCTGGTCATAACCAGCTGGAGAAGGCTGGTAATAACCAGCTGGAGAAGGCTGGTTATAGCCTGCTGAAGGAGGCTGGTCGTATCCATTTAAAAGAGGCGGGTTATAGTTCACCAGTGGAGGAGCATGTACTTGTTGCGTCGTCATCATGTCGGTTGATACGGTTTGTTGTTGTGGCTGTTGGCCGGTGACGACCACAGCACCGGGTGTACGATAAAGATAGTACAAGCAACAAGCACAGCAGCAGCAGGATACGATGGAAATGATGATGGCTAAGAAGATAGTCGTGTCGATAATAGCGACTGAAATAGCTGCGTCGCTCCAACCATAGTATAAGGAACAAATTCTCCCACAACAATCCTTCCCAATGTCACATCAGTCGTTGGACGAACAATAACAAGAAGACGAACTACTAATACATTTCCCATTTCAGCATTTCTTGCTCTATCCATATTGGTAGTCGTATGTGCAGGAACAAGAAGACGAACTACTGATGCATTTGCTATTACAGCATTTCTTGCTCCATCCACATTGGTACTCGTGCGAACAGGAACAAGAAGACAAACTACTGATGCATTTGCTATTACAGTACTGCTTGCCACTGTCACATTGGTAGTCGTACGTGCAGGAACAAGAAGAAGAACTTCTGATGCATTCGCTTTTACAGCATTTCTTGCCCAATCCACACCGGAAGCGTGCGAACAGGAACAAGAAGAGAAACTACTGATACATATGCTATTACAGCATTGTTCGTTCGATTCACATCAGCAGTCGTACAAACAGCGTGAACAACGCTGTCTGTACAATAGGACCGACGGTAGGAACAATCACTGTCGTAGATGCAGTAGGTAGCACTTCCTAAGTCAAAGAAATAGACGAAAAGAAAGCATAAAAGTTCCATAGGGGCCAATGTCCTTTCACAATTTCAATGGCGTCCTTTCGATGTGGGAACATAATCGCTTGGCTGGTTTCCAAATTCTCTCCAGACACTAAACCATGGAAACCCCCATAGAT